CCGTACTTCTCTGTGACGGTGCGTCATCCGTGACACCACCGTTACACTGACTACCTCCATGCACTAGCAAGACGGCGCCGCCTGGGAGCACCAATGACAAACCTGGTTTCCCGTATGCAACCCTGGTCAACTTGACCGGATGTCCCTCCAGACCAGCGTCGTTCGCCTGCCTACAGAACCTTCCGTTTGGAGCGAGCACCAGTGATAATGTAAATCGAGCGTGGCTAATGCTGTATTCAGAACCTCAACAACATCTCAGTTGCCATGACTAACAAAGTACTGAACGATCAGCTGTCACGGTGGCAACCAACAGTAGGCCGCTGGGCAACTGTTCCTCCGACTCCGACTCCTCTTGCTGGCTAGAAACTGCAGCTCGTTTGTCATATACAGCTAGTTCTCTCGTCGGCCTTCATATCCAAGTCGAGTTCCGTTCCCTATGAGTTGATTTTTTATCTATCTGTCGGCAAGCTCTTTGTCGGTTCGCAGCTCAGATATGGCGTATTATGGGGTAGTAGGTCATTTAAATTCAAGGACAGGGATGAGTATGCAATAGTCTCATCAGCCCTTATTGTACCTCCTCGCGGCCACGATGCGTTTGGCCTATTCGAGAGCCATGGCCTGCCGTCAGACGCACACTTGGACATGCCGGAGATCTCATGTGCTAACTTTTGACCGGCGGTCATGACCGTGTCACACAGTGACCGGTCATCCGTCGTCTAAAAGTCATGACCGTTGACTTGACCCGTAACAACGCTGGTAGAGACTACAACGAGGTCTGCAGACCCTAGGGTTAATTGCCCTTGCAGGTCTGCAGACCTCCCTTGCCCGTCTCAGACCTCCCTCTCCCCTGACCCACGTGATTCAGTTAGAATTTTGGTTAGGGTTCGGTTAGGGTTTGAGTTTGGGTTTGGGTTTGGGTTTGGGTTTGGGTTGGGAGCCACCCACATCTTCACCCCCAGAGGGGACGCCGTCTGTATTTATCGCGCGAACGAGGCTTTAGAGTGCCCGCCTGAGTGCTCCCGGCTCGGGGGAGCACGAATGGCGGGTCCTCTTCGTGCAAACCCTAAAGACGCTTATTATGCGCCATCATGCCATTCTAGGAACTTTGATCATCAACACTAGTGCGCGCTGATGCGCCCATAGCAACAAGCGCCGTCGGCCTTTCCTCCCCTCCTCACCTGCGCCCGCTCTCCTTCTTTTGTGCGCACTTCTCCCGGTTTGCAACCTATATGGTCGCCCGCTTTGTAACAGAGGCTAGTGGTGCTTAAGTTCTGTGAACAGCTTGCACCCTAAGAAACACCAGATTCCTCGTTTGATTCACCCATCAAAATATGATGCGCTCGTAGGGCGCCCCATCACTTTCCCCCTCCTGTAGCCAATCATTAGCCCTTGTTGCATGTGAGGGAGGTCTGCAGACCTGCAAGGGTGGTTATCCCTCAGTTCTGCAGACCTCGTTGTAGGCTACTCGTGAATTGGAGCATGGCAGGACCGCGTCGGATGAAAGGCATTGACCACTCACGAGATGTTGGGGAGAACTGCTGCGCCAGCAGGGATGAAGTACCCATCATACTCATCATCCTCGAGAGTTGCATGGGGCAACGACAGAGGACCAATGGGCAGCCACCGGTGGCATTCTCTTATAAGAGCGTTCACGTAGGGAAGCCGGTCGCGGTCGGGATAGTCTGGGAGGCGGTTGGTGCTGACGACGGCGTACAACTCGGCCTGAGCCTGTTTCTGAGGCTCAGGGAAGAGGTTCGAAGCCAGGAAGAATGTAGACAATGTTCTGAGTGTCTATACATGACACAGAACTAAGCGGAATCCCACAGTAATGAGTGCTAGTCTACCATGTCGACGCCAGCCACGTATGTGACGCAGACAACATTCTTGATAATCATCTCGCGCTCCTCTGCAGACAGCCCGCCGCTACCTAGGGCAGCACCGACTATGGTATCTGTGGATTCGGCGGCATTCTGTGAAGCATCAGCGTCAGCATACACCGTAAGAATTTCTCGGAAAAACCCTCGTGCTTGGAAGTCTCACCATATTTGCTTTCACTCGCACGTACGGCTGCTCAACCATCCTCTCTGAGGCGGCGCGCCACGTCTCACACGTGGCTTGGAATCCGGCACCAGGGAACCAGGGAGGCATGTAGCGCAAGAACGGCACGTTCTCGATCAGGAAGGTACTACCGGGGATGAAGGTGAACCGGAAGGTATCCATGACTGTTTCGACGTCGTTCACAATATCTTTTATTGTCTCATCTATCTCCGCCTAGGATACATCAATTCTGTAGACCATCCTTATAGCAACTCCGGCCAGGGTGCTTGTGAAGAAGTTAACATTCATTCTACGACTCGGAAGTGGAGAAACCTGGAGAATGCTCACCGACGGGTGTGCTCCTCGAGGCCGGAGGGCTTGTCGAGGATTTTCCGCAAAAATTGGATAGATTCACGGTGTTGAGTGTCGTCGTACTGGTTGAGTCGGCCGGGATTCAGATATTGCCAAAAGAGCCGGCGGTGCGATCACCATGATTGGCCATATTGCTGTAGTGAGAAATTCCCATTCCACCCAATTCTAAGGGTTACAAGATTAGTATCCACCACAGCCTCCCAGAAGTGAGATTAGCATACAACTCGGTGACAGGGGTGCGCGGTCTGTCGGAGAAGTTGGCTGAGCGCTTGTCGAGGAGGTCAAACACTGCTTGAACGCTATTGAGGACAACTACCGAGCGGCCTAAGATCTGGTAAGAGGTAATGTTTCCTGATACGAGAGGGTGTAGGTGAGCGCAACCATGGGATCCAGCTTGTTGATTGTACTCAGTGCACGCGCGGAGACTCATCATACCGTAGAGCATGCTCTCGGACTTTGTACCAGGGAGCGTGCTGGGACATATCTAGTAGATTTTCGATGAGAGGGAGCGGTTTCGGTCCTGGAGGTAACAATCATTTCTTCGTTCGTCCCTGCCATTTTACTCGTCCCTGCCATTTTATGGTGCTCCGTGCATAGGCAATCAGGCTGACTGAAAAAAAGAGCCCTACAGCGATGGAGATTATATTGTGTTAGCGGCAGTGGTGTGATCTGGTCGATGATGGTGAATTGGGCGCAGATAGCGAGTGCAGAGAGCGAATGATAGAGTTAAGGAAGAGCGAGAGAGAGAGAGGCATAGACGCATAGACAAGAGGTTTAGGGCATCAAACTGGCACTCAGGGCTCTCCAGGCCCAGACAGAACAAAGCCCCACCCAGGCCTCAAACACAAACCGAAGAGGCTCGTCGCCATACGGACTAAAGAGCAGGTAGGTACATGATGAGCTGGCAGTACCGATGTGCTATTTGTATGTAGTTGGTCACTCGGCGATGGCCGGATGGCAAACTCCAACATATTTGTGGATGTGAGTGAAGAAGAGCTCATTGCATCCTGTTGAACTTGGACTTATCCGGTCCGGACTACACGAGGCTATGCGTCTCCTAGCGCTTAGCTGTAGTCGCTTATGTAGTATGTTACCATATTTGGGACTCTCTGCTCGTGTACTATAGCTATGCTTCCGGACTCTTCTGGTACTGTCTAGGACAATCCGTACTACTCCAGAACGGTCTAGA